GAAGTGACGCTCCGCGCGAGTCCGACTGCGGAGGGGGAGCGCGGCTGCGGGAACCCGCTGCCGCTTCTGGTGGGGGAACCGCCAAACGCGGAATCAATGCTGCCAGTGCTGCTGCTGCTGTTGCCGAAAGTTGATCCTGTATGCACGCGGCGGGAGCGCGAGGGGTTGGCGGAGATCCAGGAGGCGGGCCCGCGGCAGCCCGGGGAAGGGCCGGGGGGGATGTTGGCGGAGGAACGAGGGGAGGAGGCTCGCGCTGACGCCATTATTATGGATGTGAGTGGTGCGGAGAATCAGGGACCCGCGCAGAGAGTGTGGGGGTGAAGTAAGGCGGTACGAGAGGATTTTGGATGGAGAGTTTGGGAAGCAGGAGCAGTGAAGAGCTCAAGATGAGCGGCTGCGATCAGAGCAGGAGCAGTGAAGAGCCCTCCAGCGCGCCGCGTTTCCGTGGGACAGCGAACGCATGGGCATTAGACGACGCTATCCGGCTCAATTGCTCAGAAAAACTACTCGAAGAGAAACGGCGTGCCTACTATTGGCCGGGCTCGCCTGATTTAGAGAAGTCATGGCTTGTACGACTTCTGGAGCAAATATAAAGTCCTGGAGGCTCGAAGGCATTGTTAGATGTAACTACATGGTCGACCATGACAAGCACGAGCTAGTGGTTATGGAGCTAGAGCCCAGCAGCTTCAGTAAATCAGTCGAATGGATGCATTGCATTGGATAGGGCGTGGAACACTTGACACTCATGCGGTGCGTACCTGCCCGTCGCCGGGACTTTTATTGGGATACCAGTCTTGCGAATGTTCGCATGTCGGTCGTCAGCCGCTGTTGCGTCAGCTACCTCCCGTTGGTAGGTAGGCGAGACATCGGTGCTCGCGAGTGAGTGGGTGGGGGGGAGGTGAAGCAAACAACGCTCTAAAGTGCACACCATCGTACTCAACCTTTCACAAATCAGAAACGAAAAAATAATTTGTGACCCCTGACTAGTAATCCAGTGCTGATAACACATAGCAAAATGGGGCACAGCGGAATTCAAAACATCTATGGTTATGGCATTCCAGAAAAAAAACATACAATAGTCGGACAGCTTTTCCACATTTGCAACTGGAATTTGAATATGCGGCAATGCAAGCAGCACAACCACGGTGGATCAGACAGCAGGAAGGGGGGCCCTCCTCTGCGCAACACTTGCGCCTGACTCCTGAAACTCGCTCTTGGAAATCCACATCTGCACGGAAGAGCAAAAACAAGCGTCATATCACCTGCCAAGAGCATGACAAGAGAAAGGGAAAAGGGCACAGGTGCATATGGTACCTGTTTAAAGGAGCTGTGGGACGCAAGCATGTCTCCACCAATCCAAGCACTGAAATACCCCTGGTGTGAGGTGGGCTTAGAAGCATTAACTTCTGTGCCAGCAAGCTCAGTGACCTCCTTTGTCAAGCGCTCAGCAATTCCAGCGATTCCAGCGTTACCACCCGCAATGACGATGTTGCCATACAACTGGCTCCTGATATCGAAATCACACACCATAATGGAGTTATAGCACATTTCGTGAATACCCGAGCCTTCCACCCCAGCCAGCGAGGGTTTGAACAGAGCTTCCGGGCACCTAAACCGCTCAGAAGTTAGAGTAACCTCCTGGCCATCCGGAAGCTCGTACGAGGATGGCGAGCTCTCCATATTCGCCATCTCCTGCTCGAAATCAATGGCAACGTATGAGAGCTTCTCCTTCAGATCGACCACCATGTCCCTGTTAGAAGGGTTGTGTATGGAAATGCCCCTCTCATCTAGAAGCTTATGCAGGTAGCCAGTCAATTCCTGACCACCAAGATTCAGATTATGGATTCCGTTGGGCAGAGCCAGCCCTTCATATACGGGGACGGCGGAGGACACGCCGAAACCCGAGTCCAGTACAAGACCTGTAAATGAAAAGAAGAGAGTAGCATAAGAGACACAGTGCGAAAGCAGCTGTGCAGAAAATAGAATGTAATCCAACTTACCCGTGGTACGACCGCTGGCGTACAGAGCAAGCACAGACTGAATGGCGACATACATCGCGGGGAAATTGAAAGTCTCAAACATGACCTCCGCCAGCTTTTCGCGATTTCCCTCGGAATTTGAAGCAGCTTCAGTCAAGAGTACCGGATGCTCTTCTGGAAACGAGACACAAAGCGACTTGCTGATAGTATGCTCCCAAATCTTTTCCATGTCGTCCCATGCTGTCACAATACCTGTAAAGTTAAGCCATGGAGAGGTCATGATGCGAGCAGAGAGATTACAATCGTGCGAATGAAGTCCATCAGCAGCTTCGTTAAACTCACCGTGCTCAATAGGATGGTTGAGAATCAGAATTCCAGCATGGTACTGCGCGTCATCGCCGACTTGAACCTCCTCCCTTCCCGACGATCCCGACTGCTTAGGACGACCAACAATCGTGGGAAACGTAACACGCGGCGCCCCCTCTCCTCCGGAAAAGCCGGCCTGAAAAGCAGATCAGGGTGAATGAATAACTAGTAGGCGGAAGCAATGCGAATGTTAAGACGACAATGTGGCAATTTGACTCACCTTCATCACGCCGGATCCGTTGTCGAGCACAATAGCCTTGGCATCTCCCAAATCGTCCGCCATGTTGAACGCCGCGTCTCACTGCGGTAAACCAACACAGTTTTCAGCAACTGGAAAACTAAAAAGCTACGCGCATAAACTTAGAGCAGACTGGCTTTACGAATCCACTTGGCATGATTGTGATATAGATGATTGTGATAGACATGCTCACCAGGGATGAAGGTAAAGAGACGCCCGAGATAAGCTTCTTGAGGGCTCTAGGTAATGAAGACGGATACTAATACAAATACAAGTCCATTCTTGCATCTTCATAGCCATTCCTTCGACAGCAGTGCCCTGACCCGAGACCCTAGCCCAACAGGCGGGCACCTAGAAAATGTATAATTTCAGCCGCCGGCACGGGAAGCGGCTCACTTCTGAATCTTGACCTTGCTCAGTGAAAGACACGTCGGTCAAGAATTCCGGACGTCCAAATTATAGATAAGATTGGGCTACCGTCAATGCTCGGACGAATGCGCAGCTTACACATTGGAAGGGAATAAAGAGTAAGGGTAATTGAGCCCCTCAATTATGCGAGCCTTCCTGACCAACCATTTCGTCACCAATAACGATCCCCGTCTTACTGCCGTCGTTAGATGCACAGTAGCACAGACAATGACTGCCCACACCTCACGGTCTCGACTCGACAACCTGGAAAGTTTTTTTTTCCAAGCCCATGACTGGTAGTTCGTCGAAACATTCAACACCAGTGCCGGCGTCCAGCTTGGAAAACACAGACATCTTTGCCATTAGCCGTAGTACTATAAACACAGACTATACTTAGTTTGTAAACTTTCGGACGGACCGCAGGGCGGCGCACGTGCACAATGACTACTTCGAAACACCTCTCATATCAACGCGCTTCTCTTATCGCATCTGTCTGTGATGTTTCTGTCTTATTGCATAAAAACACCTCCAAACAAAATCCAAAACGATACCTGACATCTACAAAAGCATCCATTGATGTATGTAATTTAGCTTGGCCGACAATGACCAAAGCATCATAAGTGCTAACAAATCTGAAGAACTTCTAGTAAATGCTTACACGTTTCTGTTTGCTGCTTATTATATCTTTTTGCTCCAACGGCTAATGCTGGAGCGCAGGACAGACGACTTCGAAAGCTACCCTAGTCACAACCCTCTCTCCACCTCCACTTGATTAAACCTTTCCATGCAGTTGCGATCCCATTCTCCACCACCCTCCACAACCCACCATCCATGCCGCATCCACACCACACCCTGTCCAATCCACACGCACACAATGCACAGCCATACAGCCATGGCATGCCACACCGATAACAATTTACATCAGCACCACCAACACAACTTCACTGGAGTGTCCAGCCATAATCTCCTCCAGGCCCCCACACCCTTCTCTAAACTAGACTTCCACCTGCTTCCACCCGCTTCCACCCGCTTCCACCCGCTTCCACCCGCTTCCACCCGCTTCCACCCGCTTCCACCTGCTTCCACCCGCTTCCACCTGCTTCCACCCGCTTCCTTCGCATCCACTGCCATACGCACAGCACGTACCTCGACTCGCCACTGCTCGCATCTCATTAGCTGCTTACAGCCCTCATAGCCCCATTAACTCTCTTATCTGCGAAACCAAAAAAAAAACTCCCCATGCACTGCACTGCACTATAGACTATACACAGAACCAATAGATACCTCACGAGATTATATGCCTCACCATAAGCCCCCGCTGCCTCGTCCCTTTGCCCACTCACTCTCTCCCCTTTAGCTAAACTGATACCTTTTCAGGCGTTGCAAGTGCAGCTTCACTTACATCCCCACACACTAGCAAGACCACGAGACCAGACACTCTCTCACACACGCACACACGAATGCACCAACACATGCATGCACATCACCCCCCATCCCCCCCATCACGCCCCCATCACCCGCGCACATCCAGTCACGGCAGCACAATCTCCAGTCTCCACGAAGGCCCCCCCCCCGCTTCAAGCAACCGCTACCCGGTCAACCTGCGCCAGCGTGGGAAAACCGCTTCTGCCGATTCCGAGCCGAGTCCGCAGCAGCACGGCACGGCACGGCGTGGCACGGCACGGCGTCCTCCAAGCCATCACCACGGCAGCATTGCGTCCACCAAGCCACATCCCATCACAAGCGTGTCCACATCCCGCTTCCTCTACCCCCCTCCCCTCGTGCATGCATGTCCAGCGGCCACCGCTCCCCCTCAAACAGCACGAGAGTGGAAAAGAGCCGCTCCTCCTTACGCGCCTCAAAAAGGCACCATCACGGCAGCGTGGCATCGACAAGGCCCACGAGCGTGTCCACATCCCGCTTCCCCCGGTGCATGCCCAGCGGCTTCTCCCCGTCAAACAGCACGAGCGTGGAGTTAGCCGCTCCTCCAACGCGCCTCACAAAAGCCATTACGGCAGCGTTGCGTCCACGAAACCGACGAGAGTATCAACATCCCGTTTCCCCCGGTGCATACCCAGCGGCTTCTCCCCGTCAAACAGCACGAGCGTGGGGAAGCCCGGAATCTGAAACTCCTCAGCCAGCTGTGGGTAGCGGTAGGCGTCGACGCGCGCCACCTGCACGTTGAAGTCGAGGTCCTTGAGCCTGCCCGCCAGGTCCGCCCATGCCTGCTCCATGCGCTTGCAGTGCGGACACCACGGCGCGTAGAACATCAGGAATGTCGGCCTGAAAGGGAGGAGGTGGGAGGGGGAAGTAGGGTGACGGGGCAAGGAAGGGGGAAGGGGAATCTGGTTCAGTTCAGGCTGCCCCATGCCTGCTCCATGCGCTTGCAATGCGGACACCACGGCGCGTAGAACATGGGGGCGCGAGGGGGAGGGAGGGAGGGGACGAGGGGAGGGGGAAAGGAAGAAGAGGTAGGTATTAAGCTCCATCTTCTCTCAAGCCCTTGGGAATAAGGCAGCAGCAATGTCCAATTTAAATGCCCATGCAGCTTATCTGCAGCTGCATGCAGGGCGTACTCCTTTCCTTGTCTCATCCCTCTCCTGATGTTTCAGTCGTAAATAGCAAAAAAAAAAACAACAGCGTTATTTTTTTCGCAACAACACCACATTTTTTTTTTTCGCATTTCTTATGCACAGCCGTCACTACCCCCCATCTCCCTCGTCTCAACTCTGGCACCTGCGTCGGAGAGGTTGCATGCAGGTTGCAGAAGTTTTGGTCCACAGAGAAATTCCAGTTCCATGATTCTATCACAAGTACCTACCTGCATCGGAGGGCTGCATGCAGGTTGCCAGGGTTGAGCTCCAGCACTCCTGGTCTCGCCTCACGCCTGGAGAGCCATGGATGGGCGGCAAGAGCATATTTGCATGTGCACGCACATGCACGCCACGCAAGCACATGGCACGCACATGCAAGGGGATGAATGGAGATAGGCGGTGATGCAAGGGGTACGCAAACGATATGCAGGGAATACCAAGGAGAACAGCATTTCTGCTTGCACGAGGCACAATCAACATGGCCCATGTTCATGCCCCATGTGCATGCCCCATGCCGTGACCATGCCCATGCCCATGGCCCATGGCCCATGGTCTATGGTCAATGCTATATGCCCTATGCTCATGCTCACGCCCCATGCACCGCACCCTGCGCCTCAGAGCTTCACATCCAGTGCTCCCTCTCAACCCCCCCCCCCCCCCTCCTCTCTCTCTCCTTCGACTCACATATGCCACGGCACCACTCCTTGCACCTCCTCCCCTGTGCTGCTCCCCCCCACCATCACCTCCCCCACAGTCGCCACCGCGCCCAGCCTCCCCCCCCTGCCCAGCAGCCCGAGCCCGGGCGCGCTGCCCAGGCGCCCCATGCGCGCTGCCGCGCCTGCGCCAGCGCGGGCGGAGAGAGCGAGGCGGAGGAGGGTGATGAAGCAGGAGGTGACTGCAGAGAGGAGGGCGAATGCCACTACCCAATCCGCCCACCGTGCTCCGAACCACGCTCCCCTCCGCTGCTGCTGCTGCTGGTGCGGCTGCTGCTGCTGCTGCTCCTCTTCCCCTTCCGCTTCCTCTTCCTCCACCCTGTTCAGCTGCTCCTGCTGCGGCTGTTGCTGCGGCAGTTGCTGCTGCTGTTGCTGCTGTGACGGCTGGTGCTGCCACAACAGCGGGTACTTGCGGAACCCGTCGACGAACCTGGACCACAGGGTGGGTGCCGAACATGCCCCCGCACCAGCTGCTCCTGCTGCTGCTCCTACCCCTACTGCGGCAGAACCTAGGGAGCCGTAGTAAGGGGAGCGCGGACGAGAGGGAGAGGAGACAGGGCACAAGGATGGCTCGAGAGCAGAGAGAGACGCGAGCAGAGAGGCGGATGAAGGCTGATAGCGAGACGCGGCGGAGGAGGAGGAGGAGGAGGAGGAGGAGGAGGAGGAGGAGGAGGAGGAGGAGGAGGAGGAGGAGGAGGAGGAGGAGGAGGAGGAGGAGGAGGAGGAGGAGGAGGCGGAGCCTGAGGGGGCGTGCAGGGACGAAGGAGAGGGAGGAGAGACAGCAGCGGCAGCGGCCGTGCGTGTGGGTGAGGAGAATCTAGCAGGAGGAGAGGCAGGGATGGAAGGAGAATCAGAAAGACCTGCGGGTGATCTAGCACCAGCGCGGTTACCACCTGCGAATCTCGCGTTCGCGAAGCTCGTCCCTCGCTTGGTCGGCTCTGCAGCAGCAGCAGCAGCAGCGGCGGCGGCAGCTGTGGCTGCTGTGGTTGCTGTTGCTGCTGCTGTAACCTTAGCTGCTGCTGCTGCAGGTTCAGACACACCGGTGGCACTGGTGGCGTTGGTGGCGCTGGTTACAGTAGCTGCGCGGGTCACAAACGAGGGGAACGACGGCAGTTTGAAGTGCGCGCGGGAACGGGAGGGCGCGGGGGAGGATGGGCGGGGAGCGGAGAAGTAGGAGACCGAGGCGGAGGGCGAGGAAGAGGGGCGCGCAAACACCGCGCGGGGTCTTGGCGTCGTTGGGGGGGAAACGTACGGCTCCGCGCGGCTTCCTGGCGCAGGAGATGCCGCAAGGGGAGGGGAGAGAGGAGGGACGGCGGCAGCAGCAGGGTGAGAGGAGTGGAGGGAGGAGGAGAGCAGCGGAGAGGACGGCGTGGGGGAGAGAGTCTGAGTAGCATCCGCCCAAGGGAGAGTGGACCCGGAGGAAACAAAGGAGGCGGTAGGAGACACAGGACAGTCTTCCTCTATCTCTGTAGGAATAATATCAGCAACATCAGCATCAGCAGCAGCGGCAGATGGGGCGGCAGTGGAGGGGATGATGGGGGTGATGGGCGGGAGCGGGGGCGGCGGCGGAAGCGGGGCGGAAGGCTGGCAGCGCTGGGACACGCCCTGCGCCTCCCGAAGCAGGACCTGCGAGTGGGCAGTGACAGGCGGAGAAGGGAGAGGGGGAGAAGGGATGAGGAGGGGGGGGAGGGGGAGGGGGGAACACACATGTTTGCCACGAGGGAGTTGAGCGGGGAAACGGGGGAACAGTCAGGCAGGGGAAACGGTGCGAACGAAAGGAGGAAGTGGAGCAAGTCAGCACAGAAGGTGCTCACTCTCAGCAATGACAGCAGCAAGCAAGCGCATTGAGAGCGAGCAAGCACAGGATCAGAAGGTAAGGGGAGAAACAATGCGAGCAGAAAGGATCTCTCTTGCTGCGGATATTGAAAATGTACTAACCCCACAAGCCCCGTTGCGCGCTTACCCGCAGAGCGGACGCCTCTTGCTTCATTGCGCGCATGCCCGCATACACCGCCACGACTTCCCCCCGACTTGCGCCCCCGTCCCCCGCTTCCGCCTGCTGCGCCTGCTCCGCCTCCTGTCCCTGCAGCAGCTCCTCCAATCCCTGCTCCAGAATCGTCACCTCCTTCTCCACCAATGAGAACGCGTCGCCCGCTGTCGGCGGCGCCGTCGCACGGCTGGACGACGGCAGCGACTGCGACGGCAGCGACAGCGTGCGACGCGGGAACCCGCGCTTGGCGACAGAGGCGAGGGACGAAATCGGTTCCGTCTCCGTCGCCGCCGCCGCCGCCGCTGCCGCTGCAGCGGCACTACCAGCAGCACCCCCCCCAGCAGCAGTTGCCGAGATAGATCCGGAAATCGGCGGCGGCTTTTCATTAGCTTTCCCCGACCTGCCGGAAGCGGCTCGCGCGTTCCCGCCGCCAGGCGCGCCGGCTGCGCCGGATGCGGCGGCGGTGGCGACGCGGGAAGAGCCCGATCGGCCCCTGGAACGGGACGGGCTGCTGCCGACCCTTGTGTGGGGCCGCCTGAGCCGGCTCAAGAGATGTGCCGGCCTGAAGCTGCCTAACGACAAGAAATGCCGCCCGTTGGCGCCTCCGCTGCCACCCGGCTGGCCGGAGGTGGTGCTGCGGGGCGGGCTGCAAACAGACGCGCTAGCGCACGCGCCAGCGGCGGCGGCGGCGGTGGGTGAAGAGATCGGGGAGTTGGGGAGCGAGTCAGTATCGGAGTCATCGAAGACCGAGCTCACGTCAGCTACAGCGGCGAAACCAGAAGCCGCGGAGATAGGGAGGCAGGTGTAGAAGGAGAGGCAGGGAGGAGAGTGCGCGTTAGAATGCGAGTGAGATTGAGAGAGCAAGGTAGCGGCAGTGGCATCACGGGAGGTGCGAGCAGAGGAAGGGGGAGAGGAGGACGAGGAAGAGGGGGAGGAAGAGGCAGGTTTTCGAAGCCAAGCACCAACACTGGACGACCAGGAGGAGGAAGAAGAGGAATAGGAGGAGGGAGATGCGGAGGATCGAGTGTCTTGGTGCTGCTGCTGCTTCGCTGACGCGCGTTGTTTGCCATCGCTGTTAAGTAGCTGTGCCTGCGTCTGTGCTGCCTGAACCTCGCCGAGACTGGTTGTGGTTCCGCGTTGACGCGCGTGCTTTCGACGGGATCTGCTGCTGCCGCTGCTGCTGATGTTGTTACTGTTGCTGCTGCTGCTGCTCTTAGCCTGGCCCCACGAAGAACGGCCAACGTCAGCGTGCGACGCGGAATGCGGAGGAGCGTGCGACGCGCCGCTCGCTGCTGTGACGCCAGTGTAGCCGGTGTCGACCGGCGCGGCCCATAGAGAAGGCACGGAGAAACACGACACGTTCACCATGCTGCTGCTGCTGCTGCTGCTGCTGCTGCTGCTGCTGCTGCTGCTGCTGCTGCTGCTGCCTTTGATACTGCCCACAAAGTTGACGATCGTCCGAGGTGTCGCAACAAGCTGACAGCACTAACCAGGAAATATGACCTGATAGAAAAAAAAAAAAAAAAAAAAAAAAAAAAAAAAAAAAAAAAAAAAAAAAAAAAAAAAAAAATCCGCGAACGGAATCGACAGTGTTCGGCTTTTCTCGGTTAGTTGTTGAAACCTTTTTCCATTCTACACATGCTAACACATTAGTTGTCAGCTAAGGTTAGTAGGTTAGGATCCACAATACCTACTCGCAAGCTGCTCCAGAACGGACGAGAGTTGTGAAATGTGTCGAGCAGGAAGGACGCGTGAGGCTGGCAATCCCTTGGTGCGGATGCAAGGAAAGCTTGGGGAAAAGAGAGGTGGGGGAAGTGGAGGGGAGGGGAGACAAAGGGAGGGGGAGGTTGTGAGGCGGATAAGGGGAGTGGATGGGGTGAGGTGAGGTGATGAGGAGGGATGGGGTCTGTTCTGTATCCCCGCTTCTAGCGGGGGAGGTTACAGCAATGCATCACATCGATGGCATGCGCCAATCAGATTATCAGAGCATCCGCGCGTGTCATCCAGCAACCGCCTACAGCTTATCCCCCTCTTAGTCCCCCCCGCCTCCGCCCCTCTTCCTGAGCGAATCTCTGATTCGTTGCGCTGCTCCCACTGCCTTTTCCCGCGTCGGCACACCTGAAATCGAAGTGATGGGTGCGGCGGAAACTTGAAGTCCAGGCGCACGAATCGAGCTCATAAAGGTTGAAATGCAGCCTTGCTTTCTATTGGCCGCCCTCAACAGAGTGCTGCTAAAGGTTATTAGCCCTTCGAGCCCTGAAACATTCTGCTGGATTGCGTTCTCATAATGTTTTACCTCTCCTGGTTATTATACACGGGCTAGCAACACGTTTCCAACTATAACTCCGGCTGCAAGGCTAAAAGTCGACATACACACTCGTTGTAATGAAACCCATTCTCCGGTGGGTAAGACTATAAGAAAACAACCCTAGAGGTCCCAGCATGTCCGCTGGCATGCGAATCATCCAATTACAAGCGGGAACACAACATCTGTACAATACGTCTTCAAACAGAGCCCTCATTACAGCAGCTTCGTTACTGTGTAAGCATACATGTTTGTGGCATATAAGCAACATCCAGGGTGCAACTGACGAACAAAAATATTATCATCACGAACAAAAATAGAGCATGTGTGTGTGTGTACAGCCTACTGTTCAAGTGGGTAGCCTGCATTCACCCATGCAGCTGTCCCACCAGTTACATTCAATACGGACTCTGATGGCAAGCTGAGTGCACCAGCCACTTGCATAGCTGCCCGTTTACTCGTGTTTCCTGCATGTGGAAGCGGGCACATGTTTGGATGAGACTGCCTGCTCTGGAAAGACAATTATGTAGGCAAAAACTCCCAACAAGGTGAGGAAGAAGCAGCGACGCACCAGCATAGCAGACGAAGGCCAGGGGACCGGAACCAGCGTCTGCAGCATATGCCACCACATCCCCCATAGGCACTGACACAGCTCCGGGAATGTGCCTGCAACAAAACAAGCATACGTTCTCAATCACAGCAGTCAAAAACATATGCAAACGTCGGTCCTTGGTTACTGTACACCATCACATTCACTCTTCCCTCTGTTACTTCACCTTCTCCATCCACACGCCCCCTGCCCCCCTTCCCCCTCAAACAACATATATATAACGCCATTATTGCTTCTTACCCTCTCTTGTAGTCCTCTGGCGCCCTCACGTCAATCAGCACAGGCACGGCGTCCGCTTCCCCCTCCAGGGCCGTCTTGAGATCATCCACGCCTATCTCGCCTATAGCTGGAAAGGCGGGTGGCAAGGAGAAGTACGGGACGGAGGGGCATATGGTAGTGATGGGCAGTGAGGGAAACGAATGCATGGACACTTTCTCACTCGTGAATATAAGAGGGCGGATAGCATGCAGGTGAATCGTTGTGTTATGGTTGGGAATCCTTGAGTAAAAGCGCGAGGGCCATCATTGCATTACCTGCCGGTGCGCTGTTGTAGGCGGAAAGAACCTTCTCCATGTCGTCAGCCGATGGGAACAGCTGGGCTGGTGGGTCGAACAGGAAAGAGAACAAGGAAACAGGAAAAATCTGCTTTTCATGAGCCGTTTCTCACGTTTCTCATGCTTCTCACGTCGAAGCTGACAAGAAATAAAAGGTTTCTCGGTAAGATGTGGAAGTGCGAGGTACCCGCAGGGGCGTTGGGATCGGTGGGGACAGGTGAGCGGGAGACGAAGGGATCGTCGGCCAGGCTGTCGATCGTGTCATCATTGTCATCATCGGCGTCGTCAGGAGAAAACACCAGGTCGCTGCTCTCCTTCTCCGCCTGTTTCGGCATTCAGGAGTGCCGAAAACAGGGAAAGTGGAACGGAAGGGGCGAGGAAAAGGCTCAACACGTGAAGGTGGCGGATTGTGAACAATTGGACGAATAATTCAAGGACAGATGTGATACGGCTTCTCCGAAACTGATGTCCTCTGGGTACTCACAGCACTGAGAATGTCTTCAAGAGAAAGTATCCGCTCTGCTGGCGCATTTCCGCCTTCGCCGCTACTCCAAACACGAAGGTCACGCCTTCCAGTCGCCCTCAATGGTTTCATGCTGCCAGTGACGCATACCGCGTCCCCCTGACGAACAGAGCCAGTGAGGCATGGGGACGCAGCGAATGCTGCAGAGAGGACTGTGGCAGAAAGGGACGCCGCCATCGTTCTAGGCTTTGAGAGACACGTGAGACAAACTCGGAAGATGTTTCTGTGCGAGTACTTCGAAGCCCGTGACTATCTTGTTCTCGGAGCTCTTTTTGACTGCAACGTATTCGAGAAGTGACTGGAAGGGAATGCGTGCACTGTCAAACCGTGAAGGATATGGTCTCCGAATCGTGTACATGTGGAAGACACGTGGCGCATTCATGTACCACGCTATGGACATCTCAGCTTATGTTGAAATGAAGCAACTTATGCTGATTTGCTACACTTCTAGTGTAATACGTAGATATATTTAGTGAGCACATAAAAAATGCTGGTTGTGACTCTCGCATCAGCATGAATGATGGGTTATATTTTTTTAATGCACACATTTTACATTGGAGTGGTGCTATGCATCAAAGGCACCCCAGACTTTGGATAATATATGTAGTGGTGACTGCCTTATTTTATACAGAAGCATACACCTAAACACAAAGCAGTTGCTTCAACTGATTTTGGGAACGATGGCCTCTGAACAACGGGTTTCGTGTTTACGGTATACTCTGCCCGTAGTAGTGGTGCTTAGCGATACAGAATTCAGTTTAGCGCCCGAGAAGAGCTGATAACTTTTATCCATCCGCTCTTCTTCCTCCAATCAACGTGACCGTGCCTACTCTGGGCAAAGCATCCTGGCTCCCCTGACCTGACCATCCATCCATCCCCAGGCATAGGCTCTGTAGGCTGTTTCTGCCATTCCACCATAGGTTCATGGGAAATGATCAAACTGGGGCCGAAGAGTGCCAGAGAGATGACCGAAGTAGGGCCAGAAAATCTCGACCGTAGGATTTTCGACCCCGAGCTGCCCAAGAGGCTAGGCGAACAAGCCGAACCGTGACTAAAAGAGAAAAGCTACCAGCACCAAACTTTGTGTCCAACTTATTGAAACAATGGTTACGACCGCCGTCTACTACTACGCGCACATCGCGTTCTTCTGGAAGTAAATATTGCTGTGTTAATTTGTGAGTCCAAAAACAAATTCATTATGGGTGATAAATATCACTCCCTGATCGGAAACGCGCAGAAAAAAAAAATATTACCCATTCGGAAATGGATGCTAGGGAGGCATCAACCCTAAACACAACGAAGGTTCCCGTTTTTAGGGTTGATCCATCCCGAAAATGCATCCAGGTTCCCCTTGGGGTTTTAGTTTTTTTGGCTGCTAAACGACGCTACTGGGTGGAAGGTGATGAATCAGTAAACATTTCCATGTAAAATGACGCGCGAGCGAAAATGCAAACTGTTAACAAACATACGTTCAATAAATGATAACCCTCTGCAAATAACTTTTAAAGCAGTGGTTTGGTTAGTTCCGGGCCTCTTGGCCCTTGTATGAACACCTCCCTGGCACTGTTCGGCCCCTGTATGATCTTCTCCCTAGGTTCATTGCCTTCCACTAACTCACACCATCTCTCCCTAACAGCTCACAATCAGTGCTTGCTCTTATTTCACACCTAGACGTTAGTCTCGGATGCAGCGAATACCGAGACTGTGAGAGTGATTCTGATCCACGTCAGTTAGGTGGGAGTGACCTTTTCGCTGCTTTCTAACGGAACTACTGTTTTTAGTTCCTTGTCGACACATCATCTCCTTTCGCTCGACACGCTTGTGCATCATAATTTGGAGATCTACTTGAGCGTCCATAGCTTTTGAACCAGATATCATATTTTATCAAGATGAATTCGGCAGGAGTTGTAGGTACGTGTATTCTTCTCTTTTCCTGTCCGTACACGGAGTTGGAGTCGACTACATCTTTGTTCCTGAGCGTTTCTACTATTAGGTTTGTTGATATTCTGGGTCATTCAGAAGTCTCACTCGCTATGGGTTCTGTGTGACCCTCTGTGCGATCGATTATGCCACGCGGATTTTTGGGATGAACAAGCTGGGGTGGTTGTTCTTTAGACTCTCCTTGATACTTCTGGACCGTTGTTGTTGACGATTCTCTAGCCGGAAAAATCCTTTTCGTGGAGGCAGCTGTTCTTTTATTCACTATCCAGTATGAGCGTTCCGCAATGACGTTTCCTTCTTATCCTATATATTTCCTGAATTTGTCGCTTTCCATCCAGTTCCCAGAAGCTTTCGGCTTTTGGATGAGCTGGACCGAGGGGAAAAAGGTATCGGCGATGGTTCGGTGAGCTACGGCATGGACGATGCGGACGACATCTACATGCGCTCATGGACGGGAACCGTGATCGGCCCTAACAACGTAGGCGATCAGTGTGTGCTCTTGCCGTTCGTAGCTGCTGAAGTTGCTGCAGATCTTCATTTTTTCCGCGTTTCTTACTCTTTGAGAATCTCACTTGCGTCTCATTTTTCCTTTTTTCATGTGCTGCGTGGATGTGCGTCGATGACGGTTTACTGATGTCGTTGTCCCGCTGAGCTCTCTACTGCTCTTCCTTCGTTGTCATTTGTGTGGACTGGCAGTCTGTGCACGAGGGTCGCATCTACACAGTGAAGCTTTATTGTGATAAGGACTACCCAGAACGGCCACCAACTGTGCGATTCCATTCACGCATCAACATGCATTGTGTCAACCAGGAGACGGGTGTGGTAAGTCGTGCAAAATTGTATCTACTGACTTTTGTCTAGCCATTCACTTAAGAAGCAACCTGAGTGGTGTAAATTTCAGAAGCTCTCTGTGGCGCCCTAGCAATAAGTGAGCAGTTGGATCTGGTATTGTAGTGTGCACGGTTTGAGGTTTGTGCAGTTGGTCACTTCCCTCCCATTTCCTGTTTCACAGGTGGAGCCAAAGCACTTCCCGCTGTTGGCTCAGTGGCGTCGAGAGCACACCATGGAAACCATTTTGACTGAGCTGCGCCGTGAGATGGCATCGGGTCACAACCGCAAGATACAGCAGCCTCCGGAAGGATCAACCTTCTGATTTTCTGCGCGGTAAAGCACATGTCCGTTGCCAGATCATTGTTGTTTCCTTACAGCCTGGGTGTGCCTGTTCGCTTTCTTTGACTGCTGGGTGTATCTGCTTTTTGTCTTCTGTTGTGCAAGAAAGGCCCATCTCATGTTACTCATGCCTGCAGGTTGAAATTCTGATTTGCTTGGAGGCATTGTGTGAGGTTCTGGATGGCATGGTTTGGACTATTTTCCACATGCTGATTTGTCCATCCTATATCTGATGTTCTGGTGCTGGTGGTGTCTACGGTACTTAGTGTCATGCATGCAATTCGATTTGTTGAGTGTGACAGTACAATTAAACATAAATGCTAGCCGTCTACAAATAACATACCGTAATTGCTCGCGCATCGTCAACCATCCTCTGAAAGAAAACTGAGCAAGCTCTCACTGCGCGGCCTCTATTGCACAGTGTTGGAAATCCGAATACAGTATAACCAGTGTGCTGTTTCGTTTTAGTGTAGTCCTCTTTATAAGCCTCCAGGTCCTACAATAATTGTCACAATTATTGTAGGGGCCACAATTATTGGAGTTCAGCGTTATTGGAGGGTAGAGGGTACAATTATTGGTACACCATTATTGGTGTGAATGGGGTCATTTTGGACGGGTAGCTGGATGCATATATACCCTGCATTGAGAAAGCTTGCTTTCTTATTCTATATCAATTGGCATCGTTCTCATTACAAATGCATTGGCATCGTTCTCATTACAAATGGCTTATTACAACATTTGCATCAACGTTGAACACAAGCTAGTGCAGTCTAATAACACTAGCTAAGATGTACCCTATCCAAGTGGCATTAGCAAGGCGGTTTAGTCTGGGGTGGGTGGTGGGAATGTTGAGTGAGCCGTTTGAAAATCGAGAAACGTGGGTGGAGGGAAATGAACTCCAACCCAAGGTTTTTGTAGTTGGAGAAGGGCGTTTAGCGTGCTTCGACGATGCCAATTGTGCAGTACAAGCAGCTTCGCTTTCACAATATGAAGTTTTTTGAAAGTGTGTAACACTTTCTAAAAATGTATATTTCGAAAGCGAAGCTGCTTGTAATGCAGCAATGGCAACGGCGAAGTGCTCTACGCTCTTCGCCAACTATATAGCAGGGGGTGGAGGCCATTTGGCCTCCACCCACGTCTTCGTTTGAAATTTCAAATGTCTTATTTCATTCTCGTCCGACGACTTGGCGCTTCCCGTTTTCCTCAGTTTCTCACTTCTCTCATAAAATAGTAGGCATCAGCTCAATTGACATGGCACAACGTGTTTCAGAAATGACTTGCGGGCGCACCCGTCCGCACAATAGCCGCGCTTGTTGGGGCTAATAAAGCGACAGCGCCACTGGCGCACGTGGCGACGAAATCGCCACAAGCGCGCGTGGCGACGAAATCGCCACAGGCGCGCGTGGCGACGAAACCGCCACAGGCGCGCGTGGCGAAGCAATCGCCACAGGCGCTCGTGGCGACGAAATCGCCACAGGCGCGCGTGGCGACGAAAACGCCTCAGGCGGGCGTGGCGACGAAAACGCCACAGGCGCGCGTGGCGAAATCGCCAGTGGCGCATGTGGTGTAAAAAATGCCAGCGGCGCAAGTGGCGCCAGTGGCGCTCATGGCGCCGAAATGGTCAAAATCGCCACTGGCGCACGTGGCTACGACATCGCCAGTGACGTGCAATAACCAGGGGCTCGTCCAGCGGCAGTCGGCACCAGCAGGCTGGCGAAATCTCCAGAGACAAATCGGCATGACATATGCTCTTCTGCTGCTGACATTGTCAGCGGATAACTTATTACCTTGCATATGTTTCCACCTGTTCTTCGTACGTATCTTCGATTTTTGTTTGTCTTCGTTTTTCTCTCGTGTTATTTATTACCTCTGGTCGCAGTAAATCGGTGCGAGGCAACTACCATAGCTTTGGGTCGCCATGAGAGACCATCGGCGAAGAAAGACTGCGGCAAACAATTGGCACAACCCCATGCGCTCCCGTGCGGTGCTGGCCAGTGAGCTCCCCAGGGGGGAGGAGGACCGGTGGGTCCTGTGCGGTGCTGGCCAGCGAGCTCCCCAGGGGGGAGGAGGACCGGTGGGTCCTGTGCGGTGCTGGCCAGCGAGCTCCCCAGGGGGGAGGAGGACCGGTGGGTCCTGTGCGGTGCTGGCCAGCGAGCTCCCCAGGGGGGAGGAGGACCGGTGGGTCCTGTGCGGTGCTGGCCAGCGAGCTCCCCAGTGGGGAGGAGGACCGGTGGGTCCTGTGCGGTGCTGGCCAGCGAGCTCCCCAGGGGGGAGGAGGACCGGTGGGTCCTGTGCGGTGCTGGCCAGCGAGCTCCCCAGGGGGGAGGAGGACCGGTGGGTCCTGTGCGGTGCTGGCCAGCGAGCTTCCCAGGGGGGAGGAGGACCGGTGGGTCCTGTGCGGTGCTGGCCAGCGAGCTCCCCAGGGGGGAGGAGGACCGGTGGGTCCTGTGCGGTGCTGGCCAGCGAGCTCCCCAGGGGGGAGGAGGACCGGTGGGTCCTGTGCGGTGCTGGCCAGCGAGCTCCCTAGGGGGGAGGAGGACCGGTGGGTCCTGTGCGCTGCTGGCCAGCGAGCTCCCCAGGGGGGAGGAGGACCGGTGGGCCCTGTGCGGTGCTGGCCAGCGAGCTCCCCAGGGGGGAGGAGGACCGGTGGGTCCTGTGCGGTGCTGGCCAGCGAGCACCCCAGGGGGGAGGAGGACCGTTGGGTCCCTTTCTGGCCTGTGGGCCATTTGTAGGCAATTTAGTTACACTTCTCACACACCTTAGGCTTTGAAAGCCTTCAATTGCAAGGTCTGGATGCGGTCACACTTGAGTTGGTTGATTGAACAATGTTGTGGTGAGTTTGAAATGGTGCTCAAGTCTAGCAGATAAAAAAAAAAAAAAAAAAAAAAAAAAATGCACACACATACAAAGGGCTCAAACGCTGGCAGATTTACCGTATCCGGATACAGATGCATGCACTCTTCGTAATGTGAGCACGATTGTGACTGCTACAAGGGTTGGGCTCCTACAAGCATCACATCCATCATCACACAAAACACCAATGCCCGTTACCCGAGTCCTCCTATACTGCTTGCGAGTTTGTGTTCGAAGCTCACGTGTCAGCCGACTCTCATAAATCAACATTACTGTGCTACACTCGGGGCAACACTTCATCCAAGGCAACAGCAGAGAATACAGCATCACCATCAACATCGGTGCCAGCCTCTCCTTCGTGCGTGATTGGACCTCTACCGACATGTCATCGCATAAGCCACAAACAACCTTTACCATCTCGTTAGCATGACCCCGTCTCATGTCTCAGAAGACCCATTTGAAACGAAGCTCGTTGCCATTGCAAACACAAGAAAGCAAGCTTTCTAAATATGAAGTTTTTTGAAAGTGTGTAACACTTTCTAAAAATGTATATTTCGAAAGCGAAGCTGCTTGTAATGCAGCAATGGCAACGGCGAAGTGCTCTACGCTCTTCGCCAACTATATAGCAGGGGGTGGAGGCCATTTGGCCTCCACCCGCGTCTTCGTTTGAAATTTCAAATGTCTTATTTCCCACCCACCCACCCTAGCAAAAATTGCATGTTGTAACTTGTAATGTAGGTACCATATCTAACTAGGACGAGAATGTTGTAATGCCCATTTGAAACGAAGCTCGTTGCCATTGCAAACACAAGAAAGCAAGCTTTCACAATACACAATTTTAAAAAACACAATGTGTGTTTAAAAATTATAATATTGAGAAAGCTTGCTTTCTTATTCTATATCAATTGGCATCGTTCTCATTACAAATGGGGTCTCTGAGACATGGGCAGCGGGGGCCTCCGGTTGCGTACGAGTGCCTCTGTGTGTTGTGCCGATGACGCGGCATGCGTCGGATCTTGTAGGTTACGGGAGGCTTCGATAAGAGGCTCGACGTATGGTGTAACATACATTTCCTTTGCTGAGTCGCTTCGCCATCTGCCCAGCCGTTTGAAGACCCTGTCTGGCACGCCCGTGTTGGCTGCTACTGTGGCTGCACCTTTTCGGAAAGAATGTGTGCCGAGCTGCAGCTCTCCAAGGCCAACCTTTGCGAAGGCTTCCTTGCACCAGTTCCGGATCGTGGTATATGAAGGTGGCCTTGCTTGGCCCTCGCTGGTTGAAGCGTGGCCGAAAACCCGAATCAATGGTCCCTCTGACCGTGGGCCATAGCCGGCTAGTTGGATGAAGCGTCGGGTGCAGCGCACTGGGCAACAGGGGTCTGCCTGTCAGAATCCCAACCACTAGACCATTGGGATAAAAGGGTTTGTTTGTGTAGCGGGTAAGTGCGCCCATAACCCCCCAGGCCAACGTGCCTGTAACCCTTTCCTAGGATCAATCGGGGATCACCAGTGGACCTCTGACACCCCCTCGCACTGGGATGCCCGAGGTGCACACACTAGGATTCGAACCCGAGACCTTCGCTCTAATACCATGTCAGAATCCCAACCACTAGACCATTGGGATAAAAGGGCTTGTTTGTGTAGCGGGTAAGTGCGCCCATAACCCCCCAGGCCAACGTGCCTGTAACCCTTTCCTAGGATCAATCGGGGATCACCAGTGGACCTCTGACACTGCCGTTGCTGCAATGGGAATCCAAGTGCCATAACCAGCCTGATCGGTCTTGGAGTGTGGTATGAGAATCCACATGACCTCGTCGTCGAATTGGATGTCTTGCCATTTTATGGCTGCTAGGTCAGAATATCGCAGGAATCCTGAGTACATGAGGATGGGGATCAACCCTTTCTGAAACGTCGCGGGATCGTCGAACTGCAAGTAACTCGCGGCCATGTCCCGGACTTGTTGGATCGATACGGGTTCCTTCATACGAGTAGGGCGAGGGCAGTGTCGTTTTGTACAGTCACGGACTTGGGTGGTGAACGGTCCGGTTGTCGGGCATTTGCTCCCAGTCATGCGATGAGCGAAGCTGACCGCCGAGCACGTCAGCTGCACTACGGACAGGGTGGCTTTGCGTCGGATTGCGTGTACCAGGTAGAGCGCGAGGGTCATGTCGGATGCCGGAAGAAATGGGAGGTTCACTTTTGTGCAGAAGGCTCGAAACTTGGCCCAGTATGGTTCGTATGTCCGGACCGTAGAATCGGCGCGAGATTGCGCGAGCATGTTAATCATTTGGTCGTGTAACTTTGGGAGCAAATCTGAACACAGGGCGTAAATATTTTGAATTAGTCAAATGCCATTCTCAGTGCAATAATTGGGCTGTGCGGTAGTTCCATGCCTGAAAAAGCATTGGAATGGGACCCTGCGTCTAGGCATTGGCTTCCGTGTGTCAAAGGGATGTGCGCGTGGATGTGTGGGGCCCAAGTGCATGGGGAGGGTGCAAAAGTGGCCACCAGCTTCCGCCTGGCCAGTGCGGAACTATCAGTGTGAGTGATGCATGGGTGCGTTGTGCGTGATGGAGGACGGCTGGGACCAGTTGGGGCGGGGGGAAGGCGAAGTTGTTTTCGGGTGTCCACGCGATCGAGAACGCATCAACTGCGATGGCTTCTGTGTGGGGAATCTTTGTGCAGAAGCGCGGCAGTTGGGTGTTGCGGGAGTTTGCGAAGAGGTCGATAGAGTGGGGCCCCCAACGACGTTCCAAGATGCGGAACCACGGCGTTTTCAGCGCGTAATCGTCGTGGTCGACCATTTTTTAAAGTTCGTCGGCGTGTGTATTGAGCTCGCGCGGAATCCATTCGATGATCAAGCGCGTGCCAAGCTCCATGCATGCTCGGATGATGCTCTTGCATGCCGTTGTGAGGTCGGGGCTGTGAGAGCCGCCTTTGCGAATGATGAAGAATACGCCCTGGTTGTCCACTCGCACGAGAACGTGTTTTTGCTTGATCTTGTTCGCGTATGTTTGGAGCGCCCAAAGGACGCCTTCGATCTCCCGTCGCGTGTTGGACGTTCCTCGTAGCGGCTCTGACATGGTTGCGCTAGCTTCTTCGAGGCGGCCCGGAAATGTGGTCAGAGTGGCGCCCCAACCATGAGAGCTGGCATCCACATGGATTACCGCGTCGTAGCTGTTCCTGACGTGAAAAGGTGCGCCGTTGAAACGGTCAAACTCCTCGAGCCAAAATTTGAGCCCCTCTGCTGCAGATGGGGGGATAACCACGCTGCTTTTCCATGACGGTGCTTCGTTGATCACTTGTAACATAGCGTGGCTGAATGCGCGAGCGGTCGCGCCAAGTGCGACACCCATCGATGCAACCATGCTAGTGATTCTGGTCACGTGGCGGACCGGGACTGGTCGGCATGCCCTGCTTGCGCTCAGGAGGTTCTGGATGGTTGCATGTAGTGAGGCTCGTCGGTCGGGACCGATGGAGAATCGGCCGGTGTCGGTCTCCAGTTCTGCGCCCAGGAATCGGAGATGTTGCGATGGTGACAGTTGTGATTTCTTCGCGTTTATCACAAGGCCTGCCTCTTTGAGGTCCAATATCACCTGCTGGCAGATTGCTTGCGCATCGGCTTTCGACCGGCAGAGAAATAAGATGTCATCCACGTAAGGTACGACTCGGATGCCTTGTTCTCGCCAACGCCGAGCTAGTTGCTTGATGAGCTGTGTGAAGACGAATGGAGCGTTCGCGAGGCCGAATGGTAGTGAACGAAATGCGTATGTGCGCCTATCGAATTCGAAGCCAAGGAACTTCCAGCACGATGGGTGGATGTCGATGTGATGGTAACCAAATTTGAGGTCAATGGAGAACATCCAGTCCCCAACGCGCGCCAGGTCGGCGACACGGCTCAGCCCCTCGTGCTTGAACTTGGGGACAATCAAGTTGGCGTTGACTTTCCTCAGATCAAGAATGAGCCTGCATTTGTCTTTTTGCTCGGCCACGTTGAGTGGACTTATGCACTTAAGCTCCGTTGCGGCCATCGGAACTGCCGCTCCCGTCTCTATGAGTTCTTGGATGGCGGTACGTGTGAACGTGGCATGCGTGTTTGCCCCAACATGATTGCGATCGTGGAAAGGTTGTGGTGGACCATGGCTCCATGGCAACCAGTAACCCTTGGCGATGACGGAGAGGACGAGGCTGCTAGGGCACCATGAGCTCCACCACGCAAAGGTCGCGCGAAGACGACCGCGCATCTGTGTAATAGTTGTGTCTGTAACGGCAAATTCGTACGGGTCATCGTAGCATGCCGCCTCGCACCGTCGTGCTCCTGTACATTGGAGGCCAAGTGGTATACGGGTTGAGTATTCCATGTTAAAGCATGCGTGTGCATGTACATGTACGGGCAACCATTGATCAAATGTGTGAAGAACATAAAAATCCGACAGAAATGTCAACGAATGTGTCGGGCGCGAAACGGCGCTTCTTCTTCTCCTCATTTCCTCCTCTCTTTTTTTTTTTTTTTTTTTTTCGCCCCGTCGTGCACTCGGTAGGATGTGGTTGTGCCCTTAGTGCATGGGAGCTGATGCCTATGGCCATGGACACACTTGTCCATTGTGTTTCTCTTATTCTCTCTCGTTCTCTCTCTCTCTTTCTCTCTCTCTCTCTCCCCCCCTCTCTCTCTCTCCCTCTCTCTCTCTCTCTCTCTCTCTCTCTCTCTCTCTCTCTCTCGCTCTATCCCTCTCCCTCTCTCTTTCATGCTTTCTCTTACTCGTAGTTCATGGGGGCTGGTGCTTAGAATCATGGACATGCGTGCCCACCATGTTGTATCTCGTTCTTTCTCTTTCTCTCTTTCTTTCTCTCTCTCCCTTTCTCGCTCTCTTTCGCTCTCTCTCGCACTCTCTCTCTCTCTCTCTCTCTCTCTCTCTCTCTCTCTCTCTCTCTCTCTCATCCTCCTCTTGATTGTTTCAGAGTCTCTTTGCCAAAAACAGTAGGCTTTTAAGAAGGTAGTTTTTATTAAATCACCAACACACATAGCAATCCTCTCCTAGCATGCATCACGCCACCGAGTGGCCAACTACATGGGACCGAGGGGGTTGTTGTTCCCCTTCCCTATCCTAGGCCCAAGGCCTATTCCTACCCTTCACTAGGGCTGGCCTCTTGCCATCGCAAACCCCTAGGGTTGCCCACGGTTTTCGCACTCAAGAGTGCACCGTGCCTAGCGCTCAAGCGCCTATTCCCATGGCCCGCTCCTACACCACCGGAGCGGGTCCTTGGCCGCCGTGCCCGTTCCTAGGGCAGGCACTTGCCACGTGGCCCGGCTGGCTGCAGCGGAAGCACGAGCCCCGAAACCCGCGGCAATTGGCCGTGGGCGGGGGGCCCCGCTTGGGTAAAAACGGCAACGGCGCGTTGTTTCCGCCGCGGTTGATACGAGCATATCCGCTTGCCGCACGGTCCATTGCCGCCATGTCCGCGACCGCCTGCTTGAAGGGTCGAGAAGTCAGCAGGCTCTTCTGCTGGTACAACTTGAAGCGCTTCGCCGTGCGGAAGTCGGAGGCGTCCTCCACTTGAAGCACCTCGAAACGCCCCGAGATGAGGTTGAGAGCGTGCGAGATGAGTTCGAGTCCGCCCGCTGGGTCTCCGCACTGCGCCTTGTATTCCGCGTGCAGCAGGTACGCGCGCAAGTCCTCCAGCAGCTCCGCTTGCTCTCGCACGGAGTCGTTGACGAATGTTGCCGCCGAAAAAGTGAGGTTAGAAGAAGGGAGGGGGGGAAGGTGTTCCGTGCCATTAAAATTAACATTGTTGACTGGAGCCTCACCGGCTTCATCTTCAGAGTCGTCGGTGTCGTTGTCGACCGCTGGAGCGGGGGGTGCTACTGTTGCTGCGTCGTTGTCGTGCCGATTGGTCCTTGCTCCTCGCGCGCCTTTTTCCTTTTTCGCATTTTCTTTTTTAGCCGACGCAGATGCAGCGGGTAGTGCAGTTTCCGCGGCTGTAACGCTGACGGGCTGCTGCTGTAGAAGGGACATCAGCGCGTTGACCTGGTCCGGGGTCAACGCCTGCGTCAACGCAGGGGCGGTCGTCGCGTCAGACGAGGAGACCGCCGTCCGCCTCCTCTGGCGCTGACGCGACGGTCCAGCCACGGGTGCTGGCGTGTGCTCGGCTCCAGTGGCGTGTGCCACGCCCGCGGCCGTCGCCACTTGCGCCGCAGGTGCCACTGGCGCCACAGGCACCTCAGGCGCCACTGGCGCCACTGGCGCCAAAGGGTGCTGCTGGGCGTTGGCCGAATTGTTGACCTCGAGCCCGCCCAGCAGCACGTCCACTGCAGTCGGGGAGGGCTGTCCATCTTCTGCCCGTCGCTTGTTACGGCGTTCGCCCGCCAAATCGCGGGTGTTACGGTCGTTGTCGGAGGCGGGGTTGGACGAGTTCCCGTTGTTAAGTGTCAGCGTCGGTGCCATCGTTGAGCGATTGAAGTTAAAAATGTCGTTGAGTAAAGTCGAAGGTGACTCGCCTCTAGGAAGCGATTTAGTTCTAGCCAGCTTGGACGGAGGGATAAACTACGGTACGTGAGCGGAAATGTTGAGTGGGCCGTTTGAAAATCGAGAAACGTGGGTGGAGGGAAATGAACTCCAACCCACGGTTTTTGTAGTTGGAGAAGGGCGTATAGCGCGCTTCGACGATGCCAATTGTGCAGTACAAGCAGCTTCGCTTTCACAATACACAATTTTAAAAAACACAATGTGTGTTTAAAAATTATAATTTTGTCACTTCTTCATCATCATTGAGTCATCATTGTGTCATCCTTCTACTTTTCAATGATAAATGCAAGATTTCTATCTTGTTCTTTTCTACAAACGCGTTTCCGCTACGCTGGCACTATGCCTTTCTAGCACACAGCACAGATGGTGAATTCTGGTGAGCCCTGATGTGCTCCCGTACAATGTCTATCTGTTCTTATCTACCCAAACTCCTCTTTCAGCATGTGATGTTTCTTTTTCGCCCTCTCTCGTACTCACGCTTCCTTTTCGTCCCTCCTGCTCCCACCCACTCCCAACCAGTTGAATCCACCCTATTCCCGACTCTCATTTCTCTCTCCCAATACATGTGTGTGTCTTTCATCGCAGAGCAGCCATCGAGCATACGTGCCAGCTAGTTCACTATGTTGCACACTGGTCAGGTGCGATATTGTTATGAGTCTGGTTGAGAAACAGTTAACGTTGGAACAACCGACCCAACTACCGGCCAGCCATAAGCAGATATTGTAAAATAATCTGCATAACTTCAATAACTACTCAGCAGCCTGCTTGGTCACAATCTCTCTTAATGCCTCCAGATAGTCTTGCTTCTCCTCCGCTGTCGCATCATCACCCAACGCACAGTCGCCCACTCCCCACTCTGGATCACACAGCAGCCACACCAACGCACCACGGCACCAAGCGTAGCACAAACATCAAACACAGCCAAACCATTGAAGGCACAGGAGGAACACACAAGGCACAACAGTGGTGGTGACACATGACAGCAGAAGCACCAATGCTGATATTGAGCAAGCTTTTCATTCATGACGATATTGTGACATGTCATGATTGTGACATGACTCTCCGAGGAGTGTGCAGTGCAGTCGTCATATGTAATGTGAAGGAGCTTATCTCCTTTACAGCAAAATGAAGATCTGAAAATGCAAAATGAGACTAGGTGGCAGGTCTGAGAGACCTGCGGGAATGTGAAGGAGCTTGTCTCCTTTACAGCAAACTCCTCTACTAGTCGAATCACAATCTTCAATTTTTTTGAAGTAAAACTTTAAAAAAATTTACATGTGCTTTAGTGGATATCATACCATGCCACGCGCTACCATGCCAGACCATGTCAGCCATACCAAACCATGCAGAATCGACAGCGCGAGCGTGCGTGGGAAATTCAGTACATACCAGCACCGCGCAGGCAGTACTTGTTCTCTATCTCTTGTCGGTTCCTGCACCACCACCAGCACCCAGAATAGCACGCAACACAATCATGTACTCAGGGAGCATTCTCTGTGCTCTGAAAATACACAAACTTTTTTTTTTAACCACAGCAGGCAATAGACCCAGTGACAACCCGATCCTGCTCTCTCCCACTACCTCTAATGTCTCTCATCTTCCACTCCCCTCTTGCCTCATCTAGGCGCTATCCCATCCCCTATACCCATCCTGCCACCCGCCCCATCTACATTCTCCCCACTCGTCTCCCCCGGCACTCTACGCTGCACTGAATGCGCCCCACCCTGCCCAACCTTGTCACACCCAGCCACACCCAGACCAACCCAGCTCCACCGCACTCCACCCCACTGAGCGGCACTCACTTCTCGCGATTCTCCTCGCTCTGCTTGAGCAACTTCTGCAGGATGGGCGAGCTAAGAAAGTTGCTGTCCAGCTGCTCATACCGCTCCCTCTCACTCAACGCTGCCCAGGGGCACACCGGGGCGGGGGGGGGGTGGGGAGTGGAAGAGTGGGCAAGGGGAGAGGGTGGAGATGGGGAAAGGGGGAAAGAGAGGGAGCTGAGGAAGTTGCTGTCCAGCTGCTCGTACTGCTCCCTCTCAGTCAACGCTGTTGGGGAAATACGGGAGGTGACGTGGGGAAAGGGCGGGGGGAGGCAGGGGGAAAGAAAGGGGGGAAAAGGGGCGGGGGGGGAGTGGAAGCAGGGGCAAGGCAGGGGGGTTGGAGGGGGGGATAAAGGGGGAGGTAGAAGGGAAGGTAAAGGAAGGCTTTGCGACCTATAGAGAGGGGTAAACTGGGAGGCAAAGGAAAAGGAAGCTGGGTGCGATTGAGAGAGCGTGGGTTCTCACCAAGAGCGGGCTGTGGGAGAACAAGAGCGGTGGAGGGCAGCAGCACAAGAGCCGCCGCTGCTGCTGCAGCCGTGAGGGACAGTGCGAGCGGGTGGGATGCAGCAGATGCGCAGGAGGAGGCGGAAGAGGAGGAAGGGGAGGAAGAGGAGGAGGGGTTGGTGGAAGCATGGACGTGGAGGGAGTAAGGTGTTCTGAACGAGGGTGGATGGATGGAAAGTTAGGGGGAAAACGAGAGGGAGAAGGGGGGAGGAGAGGGGAGGGATGGAGGGGGGCGGGGGGGGGGAAGAGAGAGTGAAAGTGAGAGGGATACCGATGGAGAGACATATCGTTCTACTGGTGGTATGGCACTAGGGAGAAGGGAGAGGGAATCAGATTCGGCGTAAGTGCAAGTGCTATTAACACGACCAGTGTGGGAGCAAGTCCGCCAGCCAGTTAGCCAGTCAGTCAGTCAGCCAGTCAGTCAGTCAGTCAGCCAGTCAGCCAGTCAGTCAGTCAGTCAGTCAGTCAGTCAGTCCTCAGTCAGTCAGTCAGCCAGCCAGTTAGTCAGTCAGTCAGTCAGCCAGCCAGTCCGCCAGCCAGTTAGCCAGTCAGTCAGTCAGCCAGTCAGTCAGTCAGTCAGCCAGCCAGTCAGTCAGTCAGTCAGTCAGTCAGTCAGTCAGTCAGTCAGCCAGCCAGCCAGCCAGCCAGCCAGCCAGCCAGCCAGCCAGCCAGCCAGCCAGCCAGCCAGCCAGCCAGCCAGCCAGCCAGCCAGCCAGCCAGCCAGCCAGCCAGCCAGCCAGCCAGCCAGTCAGTCAGTCAGTCAGTCAGTCAGTCAGTCAGTCAGTCAGTCAGTCAGTCAGTCAGTCAGTCAGTCAGTCAGTCAGTCAGTCAGTCAGTCAGTCAGCCAGTTAGTCGGTCAGTCAGTCAGTCAGCCAGTCAGTAGGTCAGTCAGTCAGTCAGTCAGTAAGTCAGCAGGCACATGGCACCCTGACCCTCCACGCATGTAGAGGCGCCTCACTGCGACTCAGAATGTGACGTGGTTTCACATGGTGCTTGTGAGCACGCCGTTTTCTTTATCGTTTTCATCTTCAGGCGTAGCACGGCGCACGGTGAACGGCATGTCATCGCATCGCATCGCATCCCATTTGAATCGCATCCAAATCTCATCCCATTCAAAACGCATCCCATCGAATCGCACGCACCTCTTGGTAGAATTACGGCGCACATGAGCAGAGGCGCCGGCGAGCGGCAGGGTCGCCGTAGACGGCGCTGCGCAAAGCGAGGCCATGGCGGAGAGCGCTGGGACGCAGGCGTTATGTGGGAGTGGGGGTGAGAGGGCGAGAGGGGAGAAAGTTGAGGGGAAGGAAGAAGGAAATGAAGAGGAAAGGAGGAATGGGAGAGTAGGTGGCGACAGTTTATAACGGGCCTAGTCGGGATGCTTGTACAGCAGCCGTCCGATGATGGCTGGCGGGTGAAATTGTAGAGGATACACAATAACAGGGCGGTCGATATTGAATCAGGCCAGAGAGTAGATTAATACAGGTTCGCAACGGACCTGATTGAGCCATGATCAGAATGCGTCTGGTCTGGCTGCCCCGCGCCACGCTCAGTTGTGCTTTGAGGGGTTGCGGCACGGCGATTCCCGAAATCGCGACTTCGGTAGAAGTCTCTGGTCACTGGTGGGAATTGTAACAGACAGGCGGACCAGCAAGCTACCGAGGGGAGTGGCTCAAGGACGTACTACTGAGAGAGCAGTGGTGGAGGAAGAAGAGGGCACTCATCTGAAAAATGTTGACAACAGGGATGTTTGCGTTGCGAATTCAATGGTAACCGTCGCAGCTGTTGTTGATTCGGTGACGGATCGCTGAGCTGGTTACCCTGGCTGGCACATGATTCGCCACCAGCAAGGGAGGCTGAATTCTTGGACACTGTGTGAACACGGAGGGAACGACACGTGCGTTCGCTGCTGATTAGGATGCACCACAGGTCCAATAAGCTTGTAGGGACCTGAACCAAGGGCGTGCACACGTGGCTGTATCGAGAACCTCCGCGAGATACTTCTTGCAGGGTACCGCATACGCGGTGCAGAGTTTTTGAGTTATTTGGTTGACAACTGCAATTATGAGAGTGTACTGATTACAAAACAAGAGGTGGATACACTGCTTATGAAAAACCCTCAAGGAGCGCCACGTCTCGCACGCTCCGTCCACACAAAAGCATGTTGAATCCACGTCAGTCAGCCGTTTTCCAATTCCATTTTGATTTGGGAAAAGATCATACAGGGGCCGAACAGTGCCAGAGAGGTGATCGACCAGGGGCCGAGAGGCCCGAAACTTACCAAACCACTGCGCGACGAGGGATTAACAGGGGGTCTTTGTTTATTGCACATAATTATGTTACTAGTGGCATGTACCGGCTCGCATTTTCGCTCGCGTGTCGCTTAGCGAGCCGACTCTACCGGGAACTCTAGGGCAGCCAGAAAAAACTAAAACTCATAGAGAACCTGGAGGTAATTTCGGGATGGATCAACCCTAAATAAGGGGCCCTCCCTGATATTTAGGGTTGATGCCTCCCGAGTCGCATCCGTTTCTGAATGGGTAATATATTTTTTTTCTTGTGCATTTCCGATCGGGTAGGTGATATGTATCACCTAGAATATATTATGTTGTTACGTACTCACGATTTCACACCCCGAATATTAATTCCAGAAGAAGGCGACGCGCGCGTTGTAGTAGACGGCGGTCAAAACCCTAAACAAAACAATGAACACAAAATTCGGTTCGTTTTAGCAATTTTCTTTTACTCATGGTTCGGCTTGTTCGACGACCGTTTGGTCAGCTCCGGGTTGAAATCCTACGGTCGAGATTTACCGGTCCTACTTTGAACACCCCTCTGGCACTTTTCGGCCCTTATATGATCTTTTCCCTTTTGATTTGCATTTGCCACTTCAGAAAACAAATGTTGATCCATCACGTTTTTCCACATGACGCACGCAGCTATACTGCTCTACGGATAACATAAAGCACTCTGCTCCATTGTAGCGCTTTCCTCGCCGCATCGCGTTGCCGCTCCTAGGAACCAGCTCCTTAGTCGTCTCTTCGCGTTTCCGCTTCGCAGCCATGTCTCTGGTTTACTCCAGCTCAGTCGTCTCATCGATGCTGCCGCGCAGCGACAGGGCTCGCTACGTGAGAGACTCGATGCAGGCTCCTAACGCTGTCCGCGTCCCACGAAACCCGCGAAACCAACAAGACCCTGTCGCGATGCGCGTAGCAGCAGTCCGTTCCGTCGGCGCCGCGTCCCTCTCAAACCGGCGGTTTCGTGGAACCGGGGCGCGGTTAGTAGGCGTCCATCGCGCCGCACGAAATGGAGATTCGATCAACCTAGCTGACTCCCTCCACTCTGGTAGATTTGCGCGAGTCGTGGGCGCTTCCGCAGCCGCTGCAGCCGCCGCAGTCGCCGCAGGAGAGGTAACACGACCAGGAGGAGCAGTAGAACACGCAGCTGCTGTGGCGGGGAATATCGCGCGACGAAGAGCAGGTGGAGGAGGAGGAAGAGGGGCGGAAGGAGACGTGGCAGATTCAGTAGGAGATGAAGCGGGGAGCGGAGCAGCGCAGCAAGCAGATAGAAAAGGAAGGGAGCGCGGAGGGGATGCGAGTGGTTACCGAAGAAAGGACGGGGAAGTTTTTGAGAGAGGGTATTCCCGTCGCATGGTGATGGCTCTAGGGATTTCAGCTGGTGTGGCGGCAGGGATGGGACTCACACCACGATCAGCAGCAGCAGCTGCAGCAGCAGAAGCAGGTGTGGGCGAGGGGGAGGGCGTATCTGTGGGTCAACGGATTCTCCGCGGTTTGGGGTTTGGGGATGCTGACGTGTACTACCCCAGGTGAGGGTCTTGCCACCCAAATGCTCCTCCTACCTTCCATACCGTTCCAGCCCATGCCATCTCGTGCCAACCCATGCCACATTTTTCCTCCCATGCTATGCGTGTGGTGCGCGCACAGGGTGTTTGAGGGCACAATGTGACCCCATTCCACCCCATTCCACTCCATGCATCGCATACCGTGTGTGTGGTGTCCTTTCAGGGTGTTTGAGGGCGAGTGGGAGTGTCTGTCGCAGCTGATAGCGCTCGAGACGCCGCAGGGCGAGCAGGCAGCGGACAGCCTGGCAGTGGCGCAGGCACGGCGCGACATAGGAGTCACGCTGCCGTACCGGGCCCGATTCTTTGAGTTCAACGGCAACGTTGTTGGGGACAGGGCTTTCACCACCACTGTGAGTGCTGAAACTGTCTAAAACAATGCGACATTGGAAAAGAATCATGTCGAGCTGTCTCACAGAGGCCCTGTCCCCTGTCGCACCGGGCCCGCTCTTTTAAGTATATGACGACGTTGTTGGGGACGGGGCCTTCACCACCGCCGTGACTTTTGAGTCGACTCAAAAGTCACCTCGTTACTATGGCACACGACAGTTGTTGGGGACAGGGCCTTCACCACCACCGTGAGTGCTGAGATTTGGGGCTGAATCAAAACTCGATCTAAGAGAAACACTGCTGCTGCACCCCAGTTTCCCTTCTTCCCATCTCCATCTCTCCCTTCCCCGTCCCGTTCTTACCATGGCCGATCCTCTTTCTCCCTTTCTCCACCACAACCTCCCACCCTCCCTCCCTTGTCCAATCTTCTCCCTTGTTTTTCAATGTGGTGTTTCGTCATCGTGGTGTGGCGGTGCACTTGGCATGGCATGGCGTGGCATGGCATGGCGTGGCATGGGCGAGGGAGCAACGCAACAGTCATTGGTGGAGGCAATGATGGGCAAGGGAGTGGTGGCGGATGCTGATTGGTCGCCCTCCAGGCCCAACCAGCTCACCCTCACTCTCAAGGGAGGGTACAAGGTCCGTTCCTGTTGGTCACTCACTCACTCACTCACTCACTCACTCACTCCCTCACTCACTCACTCACTCGCTCCCTCCCTCACTCACCCCCTAATTGTCTTGTGGAACGTTCCATAGTCTCCTTAAGGGCTTGTCACATGATTTTTGTGAGGATCTGTCAGGTTCCAGGCCTTCTGTTCTTTCCAGGGGTCTTGGACTTGCCTCACCCCTCCTTTCCACCTCTACACATGGTGTGCCATGGGGTATGATGGAGGGTGGCATGACTGCATGATGATGGCATGACTGCATGATGATGCCATGACTGCATAATGATGCCATGACTGCATGATGATGCCATGACTGCATGATGATGCCATGACTGCATGATGGTGCCATGACTGCATGATGATGCCATGACTGCATAATGATGCCATGACTGCATGATGATGCCATGACTGCATGATGATGCCATGACTGCATGATGATGCCATGACTGCATGATGATGCCATGACTGCATGATGATGCCATGACTGCATGATGATGGCATGACTGCATGATGATGCCATGACTGCATGATGATGCCATGACTGCATGATGATGCCATGACTGCATGATGATGCCATGACTGCATGATGGTGCCATGACTGCATGATGATGCCATGACTGCATGATGATGCCATGACTGCATGATGATGCCATGACTGCATGATGATTCCATGACTGCATGATGATTCCATGACTGCATGATGATGCCATGACACAATGGCATCGCGATTGGATGGCATGCCGCCATGGCACTACCACCAGGTGCAGAGTGTAATCACGCGGCGATCATATGAGATGTCAGCTCCCAACCAGTTCGACGTGTTTGAATACTCACAGCAGGTACTGCTCGCAGGGCAGGAGGGGGAGAGTGGGAGAAGGGGGAGGGGAGGGGAATGGGTTGTTGACGGGAAATGCAGGAGTGCCGATGCAACGTGGATGTTGTGCGTATGAAGCGCACATTGTCGTCGTCGTGTCACCCTTCCTGCCATTCCTTTTTTCCATGTGCCGCAAATCCCAATCAATTCAACCACGCCTTGCCCTGCTTGATTCAGCTAGCACTGATAAAAGACTGACTTGGGGTCTGTCTTTCCTTCGTAATTAACGCTACACTGTTCCCACACACCCTCTTGTGTCACGTGTCATCCACAAAACAATCCGTCAATCAGGTGTTTGATAACCCGAGTGTCTTGGACGGCCCTCCTTCTGTTAAGGTACGGAGTTCTATTGTTTACTTATCTGTTTGTTTTGTCTTTCTCTCTCGTTAAGCGCGCCTGAGAAGAACAAAGCTTTAGTTTTGAAGAATCTTCAAACGCGCACCTGTTTGCCTGCCGCAACTGTTTTTATCTATGCTGTGAAGCAGTCTCAGCCACTTTGCATATGCCACTTTGGCCATTGCTGCGCCACGCGCCACTAAGTTGTGCCTCCATTCTTGTTACCATAGCCTTTACATCTTGCGTCCGTGTGGCTGCCTTAACCGTCTGGTGTTTTAACCTGTGCATCGTTTCCCCTTTCCATGCCATGCCATGCCATGCCATGTAATGCCATGCCATGCCATGCCATGCCATGTAATGCCATGCCATGCCATGCCATGCCATGCCATGCCATCCCTCAACCCACAGGCGTCCAGCAATCTGACCCGGTATCAGTGGGACGAGGTC